GTCTCTTACACATGTCTCACCCAAACATAAACTATACTACAATGGCCAAAAATAGGAAACAGATCCAGGTTATAAAATCTCTTTCCAGGCAGGAATCCTGCATCACTGGCCTACATCACTTGTGAGCCATGATCTCCTACACCCAGAATTTGGTGCATTGAGTTCTGGTAACCCTGGTGGACTTATTTCCACAGCTCTCATTTGCTATTGCTCCCCTGTTGCACAGCAAAAATGGAGGGGAAATAAAACCAGAGGTCCACTTTTTACCATGAGAGGTGGTTTAACCCCAAAAGTGAAGTTTTACAGAAGCCCATCTCCCAAGTCTTCTAACCTCCAAAGCCCTGCTAACAACCAAATCACTATTTGACATCCTGTATTAATTCAGTCGCTACCACTGATCCAAAGCTGGGGCGGGTTGATGGTGTAACGGAAGTGATCAGACTCAAGGGCTGGAACCCATTGTGTCCTACCCAGTGCACTGCCAGCATTCTAGCCATTGTGTCTGAAGATCTGGCTGCTTAGGTCAAAGTTCAGGCAGGTCTTCTTTATAGAGATCTAATCAAGAAATAGCAGCAGGGACCTAGGAAGAAGAGCACCCTAATTCAGGTAGGTAGCAGAGCCATGACTCCAGTTAATCCATCTACTTGTAACAAGATACCAGCTAGTAGTTACTGAATACAAGAAAAATATTCACCCCTGTAGGAGAGAGTGAGGGCAGAGGCAGGGTGGAAAGTCAAGGATCCATCCAAGAAGGTAAAGGGTCTGGTTGTGGTATCAACAGGTGGCCTTGATCAGCACAGGGAAGCCAGAGGCAAAGCCTCGGTTGTAAAGACCACATCTTCCCGGCAGGAAGCTGGAACTGAGAAGGATGCTTGGCTGTCTGGAGTCCAAATTCTAGACTGCATACGGGTGCAACTGGTGCCAATCTAAGGAAGTACAATGCATTTCAACCCTATGACCTGGTGGGCTAAACCTGCCTGACTGAGTGAGGAGTCAGCCAGGCAGATCCCAGGGGTGGAAAGCCCCCACAATTCTAGCTGAGAGGGGCTTGGGCAAGTAGAGGCTGAGAAAATACTTTTGTCTCACTAAATACTTTGAGATGGTGAAGGAATATCTACTAAGTTACCCTAACCCACACCCATAGTTATTGGGTGATTACATTCTTCCTGGCACAGAATTTTCTGATATGGTCCCTTCCACCTAACATCATAAGCAAGTGTGCTACTGTTATTAAGAAGAGGAGACTGAGGCTCAGAGAAGGCAGATGGGTCTAGATCACACAACATGGAAGTGGTAGGAAAGGCTCCTGTGTTTAAAGCCAAGTAGCTTGAGCCCAGAATGTACAATAACTGCTATGTCCTGTCCCCTGGTATTTGTCGGGAAACCCTTGGGGGGCACAGAGCAAAGAACTGCCCACCCCTCTATCTAGTGCTAATGAAGAACAATCCCTGTAGCAACCGCTTTACTGAAATATGTCATGTGCCATACAGTCTCTCCATTTTCAGTGTATGAACAATTTAACAGTTTTTAGTATATTCACAGAAATATTGAAGTAGCACCATAGTCAGTTTTAGAACATTTTCATCACCTCAGAAAGAAACCTTATATCCTTTAACTATCACCATCCTATTTTTCCTGATCCAGTACATTTGTCCCCACCTACCCCCACCCCCAGCCCTAAGCAGCCACTAATTTACTTTCTGGTGCATGTATTTGCCTGTTCTGGACTTTCCTATGAATGGAGTCATATATATACACTTTCGTGACTGGCTTCTTTCAGTTAGCACAATATTTTCAAGTCTCATCCAAGTTGTAGTATGTTTCGGTACTTCATTTCTTTTTATAGTTGAATCTATTCCATTTTATTGATATACTACATTTTTGTCTATCTGTTTATCCATTGATGGACATTTGGATTGTTTGTTTCCACCTTTTGGCTATCATGAATAATGCTGCTCTAAATATCTATGTACAAGTTTTTGCATGGACATAATGTTTTCATTTTTCTTGGCTATATACCTAGGAGTAGCATTGCTGGTAATTTCTATGTTTAATCCTTTGAGAAACTTCCATACTCTTTTCCACAGTAGGTGTACCATTTTACTCACCCACCAGCGGTGTATTAGTGTTTCTCCACATCCTTGCTCACACTTGTTATCACCTGTCTTTTTGATCCTAGTCATCCTACTAGATGTGAAGCGTATCTCATTGTGGTTTTGATTTTCATTTCTCTAATGACTAATGATCATCAGATGTGGAGCATCTTTTCAAATGCTTGTTGACCATTTGGAGAAATGTTTATTCAGATCCTTTGCCCATTTTTGAATTGAGTTTTATTTATTTTTATCATTGGGTTGCATATACTTTCTAGATACAGTTCCCTTTCACATATATAATTTGCAAATAGTTTCTCCCACTGTGTAGGGTATTTCTGTGCTTTTCTTGATGATGTCCTTTGCAGCACAAAAGTTTTTAATTTTGATAAAGCCCAATTTATCTCTTTAAGAAAAAAAAGTAAATTGTTGCTCATGATTTTGATGTCATAACTAAAAAAATCCTTTGCCAAGTACAAGGTCATGAAGACTTACCCATATGTTTTCTTTTAAGAGTTTTACAGGTTAGCTACTACATTTAGGTCATTGATTCATTCTTGGTAAATTCCTGTATATAGGGCATGGTTTTGCTCCATAGTTCTAAAGGAGTCCCCATGCCTTTATAAATCCTAGATACTATATTTTCCTTTGAATGCTGGAGAGGTGGATAAAATGATGATTTTTCCCATACTGGAGTTGAGTTAGGACCTCAAGAAAACCCAAATAATATTATAGAATGGTATCCATCACACAGGACTATTTCCTCTTCATTTTGTGGA